AATCTATCTGCTGTGAAACGAAGCTTTAACTTAAGCTGAATTGAGTTCTCATAAATCAGACACCTGTTCAAACCATCAAATTATTTTGTATCCTATAAAAGCGTAACCAAATCAATATAGTCCATACAGCTAACCCAACAACGCTTTTATACAAGTAAAACTGAAATGCTTATTGTTATGGTAAATTAAAGTGGGTGAAATTGAAAGCATTCAAAGGAGTTTGTTTGGGTGTGTAACTCGGAATCCGGTCAAGCGGTAACGGAGGGAAATGGGCAGATTTTTTACATTCAAATAGCTCTTATTCAGAAACTAGAGGGACTATTGAAATAAGTAAGGTATTAGAATGTAGGAAAGAGTTACACTCCAACAGGGTAAAGTTAAACCTGCAATATTCTTTCAAGTTGTTGACAAAAAATTCAAAAACTCATATTGATAACGGAGGGAATGAAATATGCAGCACTTTTTGGGCAATAAATACAAACAGTGATCACTAGCGGTTCTCACTTACATATCCTTAACAAACTGGTTTGAATATTTGCTTAATATAGTTTTCTACCATATGATACAAGATTAGGTTGAAAAACCTCTTACTTTTTGAGTAATGAGATTTTTTTATTAAGAAAGGTCATGGTAACGGAGGGAAAAGTAACAGAGGGAAAATTGTGCAAGCAAGTAGAAGGTGCATGATTTTGCATAATTTGTCAGCTTTTTTCTTCCGAATACTTTAATATTACTTCAAAATGAAAGGAAACTATTTCTATAAAATATGTCAGTCCTTCCAAGCAAATTTTTATCATTGTAAATACATCTTTTTTGAAAAGTCATGTTTCTTCATCAACAGTTCAAAGATCAAATAACACAAGATATGATGAAATACATCAATTTATTTACATGATTTTCAGGTCTTTGAAATCTGGGAAATAATTTTTGTTCCATGTTTCATACATGGTCTGTTTAAAACGTATGTCACTTTAAAACCAAAAATGATACAGACAAAAGGTAAACTGTTTCATAAACTAGAGTACATATGTATCTGTTGAATACATTTTTATATCAGATGCATTAACTTGAATTTTTGGCCTTGCTGTTTACTTCTGCTTGACCGGGACCCTCGTTACCTGACCTGACCAGCCACTCTATACTGTTTCTGTTAGTAAAGTTTTACCAAAAAGTGTGGTTCGCTGCTGTTGCTGCTTTTAAACATGAACACCATGATGTGATTATGCTAAAAATACACTAACTTCTTCTATCACCACAATTTTTTTTTTTTTCCTGTTATACAGAAGGTACGATTGAAGTGCTATCATTTTGCATTTGTTTCTGCACGTAGGCTGTTATTAATATGTAATCGACCTAAACGGCTTACACATTTCCACATGTGCCACAAAGAGCTTGGGGTAATGTAGGCTCGTTCTACTCAGTAGACTTTCACACAGTCTGTGGTTGTCCCCTGTGCTGATGTGGGCGGGACATAACCGCGCGCGCCGGGACGAGTCCCGCGTGTGAACTGGTCTGAAGCGTCCAGGAGCTGAACCGGGACAAAGGCAAGAGTTTTCAGAGTCCGTAGTCTGCAGACTGGAGGACAGTGTCAAGGATTTTTGGTGAAGGTACGTCTGCACTCAAAGATTCAGTCAATTTCATATTTTTTTTGAAAAGACTCAAAGACTGACTCATAAACTCATAAATGTGCAACTTTATTTACTCTTTGTGCTACTCTTAATTATTAATACAGGGCTAAGTCTTTTCGTTTTATCATCCGTGTAATGTAGGCATATATCTAGAGCTGTCAATTTGCAACTTAACTAGCGCTCCTCCTGTTTTAAGACTGTAATAAATGTTGTAGTGAGTCATTTTACAGGCAGATACTTGAACGTAACAATCTTGCAAATAATAAAGTTAAAGTCACGTGTTACAAGCCCAATCCAAACTTTGATTAAAAAATTTAAATAACGAGCTGTCTGCTGTAAATATATTATATAGGCCTAATGTTCTGTGTTAATCTGCCATCTCTTTTACCCTCACCCTCAAGTTAGGGAGTATTTGCTCATCTGCTTTATGAAATATTATTCATTATAAAACTGAATAAGCAATGCCTTTGGTTAAAGATTAAAACTAGAAAACTCTCTCACGTCATTGCCACAATAAAACATTGTTTGGCTGCTGCAGATAATTCTAATAGGCATAGAGTATTGGAGATTTCAGTGGGATTTTCACTGAAGTGGATAATGAGGAATTAGATTCTTAAGCATAGATTTATAACAGTTTGAGTATAAGAGCTTAAAATATTAAATGTTTTTCTAATTAACAAAATGTGTCATGACTTACTCTGTGAAAAAATATGTCATTAAAGCATTATGTTACAAATGAAGCAGCAATCCACGTTTTTCTTCATTGAGCTGTAATTGATGAGCTCATGTTCGGATGTGGAAGAAGTACATAAGTAAAAGTACAGATCTTGGAGCAAAAAATGCTTAAGTAAAAGTATCACATGAAAAAATCTGCTTAAGCAAAAGTATTAATATACCTGTTTAAAAATGTTCGTAAAGAGTAAAAAGTAACTATTTTGCCCAGAGTTTGAGATATAATACAGCTTCAGATGTAGTGATTTTAATAAAGATTTGTGCTGAATTTTGTTTTACAGAAACAGTTGAATCATTTTTCACCTATAGCTGTTAGTTTTTATTTGTATATTTTTGTTTGCTCAAACTATAAAAATTAAGCCCTCAACTTTTTCAGCCAGTCTCAAACAATAATAATAATCATACTTTTATTTTTCAGTCCACTTAAAAAATGTACAGGTAGTAAAAGTAAAAAGTAGGCTATGCATGTAAAAAAAAAATTTTTTATTTTTTTTTAAACTAAAGTACAGTACTTTACTACGTTTACTTTGTTACCTTCCACCTCTGGGTCTGACTGAGGGGGCACTTTGTAGCTTTGCCAATTTTGTGCCCCACAAAACAGACAGCTCTGACCCTATCAAATGTAATAAATTTATTCTTGTTTCAATGGTATAGTATTTCTGTCAGATTCAGTCCATAGACTTAAGTGATAATAGCTTGTATCTGGTCATATAAAACAGCTAATACCTCTGCTCTCCTGACTGTACTGCCCTCATTCAGTCTCACTAGTTCACCCTATTGTTTACTGTTTGTATTGCCATTATTTTTAACACAGTGCCCCCTATTATTCCTTACAGGTCACTCTGACACTCTGTATTATATCTGTGACTATCTATTTCAGAGCCTTGTGTTGGTGCTCTGTGATTCTCTGTAATGATGCTGTGCAGTAGTGGAGCAGCCTGCTGTGAATCACTGTGGAGTTGAGGTGAGCCTGCAGCCCTGAGAAGAGCTGTGTGAAGACACAAAGAGACTGCATAATTGACATGAACATAATGAGGAAAGGGAATCTGTGCTCCGTCAGCAGTGGACTGTGGTTTGTCAGATTAGGTGTTTGTGGCACCGGGGCTGTAGCAGTAAGCTGATTATAACATATGGACTGAGTATAGGGGTGTACAGTGTGTTACACAGAGGAAAGGGAATGCAGCAGAATAATATGAGCCACTTTCTGAGCAAAACTCTGCATTGTTCAGTTTCAAGTACATGAGACTAAGCAAAATTGACTCTTGTGAGCTTTAAGCCATGTTAGAATCTAGTTACCTCCTCAAATACATGGTGTTGTGTTTTGTTTCATTCACACATGTTTGAGTAATGCTTTATTATTAGCCTGTCTACATCTCCAGAGCTCAAAATGCTCCACCTTGTGATGTCATTAAGTGGTAGTTTGCAGGTTACCAGCTACCGTTTACCTTCATTTCAGTAGAGATGGGCAATTCCAGGTCTGAAATGATCCAAATGAATCTAGTGAAGGTGTATGGAATGTTAAAAACACAGTGGAGCACTTCCTGTGTTACTACATGATGGCACCAGGTGGAACAGAAAGTTTTCTGTTTGAGAGAAGCAGCTCATTTAGGAGTACATGTTTACAATACAAAAACTACCCTTATTTGAGGTATTTTTTGTTGATGGTTGCCAAGATGGACTGTGGTCTCTTTGTCCTCATTCACTTCAAGGGAAATCTAGTATTCCTTACAACAACACCATATTATAATTACAAGTGCTGTATATAACACTTTGATTAATTTATTTTCTTTTTTGTTTACTGTTAATGTTGTGATGTTGTTTCCCCATCAGAAACATATCTAGAATTGTGCTCTGGTCCAATCATACATGTTTAACACACAAACCCTGCTTATTTAGGCTGTGTTCCACGTTGTAATGCCATGTGCTAATACAGGGAGTATTTCATTGTGTTTTTAAATTCCATACACCTTCACTAGAATCAATTGGATGATTTCAACCCTGGAATTGTCCAGCTCTACCAAACAAAAGGTAGAAGGTAGCTGTTAACCTGAAAACTGCTGCTTTACAGGGTGGAACAGAGCATTCTGAGCTTTAGAGATGTAGACAGACGATAACAATACTTACTCAGACATGCGTGAATAAAACAAAACGTATGTTTTTGCTGAGACAATAACATTCTAACATGTCTAAAAGCTCACAGTAATTAAATTTACATAATATAGGACCTTTAACTATTTTGATGTTGGAAGTTTAAATAACTCCCAGCATTATGTACTCTAGTTTTCAGGGGAGACTGAACTGTTGTACAGAATGTAATGTCTGCTTTAATTGAGAATGTGTTTTGTGTATATTCTGCAAGACAGATTACACTGATTCAATTTTAAGGTCTTAAAACAAAGTATGAAGTTTGTGAGCGAAAAAGTAATAGACTGTAAAAGGCTTACAAGCACTTTACCACAGCTCCTCTAAACTATTTTGTTTTTAGTGATCAGGAACAAGAATAGCTAATTATAAACATTTTCTCTCCACTTGTTATTTGTCCTGCATTAATTAGTTCCCCTTTTGTCTGTCTCGTTCCAACAGCTGCAGGCCAAAATCACAGTCTGCTCCCAACTTTCCACATCAGCACAACTTGTCCCCATGGAGACAAAGCCCACAGCCTATCACTCACTTGACGAGTGGGTCAGCGAGTCCCAGATATCGGGTGCAGCAACAATTTACTACCCCTCTGCTGAGGACAAAAAGGCTCCCACAGCACAGCCCAGAGAAGAAGATATCGACAAAGAAGAATCCCCAGAAATCAAAATGGATGACATGTTCAAAACAACAGGAGCGAACAGTCGGTGTGTAACTGCAGAGATGAAAAATATGAGACAATGTGAAGCAACTGAGAAACACGCCATTGCATGTGAAGAGGAGTTCCCCCCTCCCCCTCCCGATTTTAGTGATCTCCCAAAAGAACAATCCAGCAGTGACCAAGACGTTCCCATTGAAGTGATTGCAGCTGAGTGGTTGAATTGTATAAATTTTCCGAATATTAGTCAGAAATGCTACAGTGAGGTTAAATCTGAAGATGCAAGACTCTTCCAAGATGGAGTTATACAAAGTAAGTTGAGAAATTTGACAGTTGCAGACAGTACAGAAAATGATAGAGAACATCTGGTGCCTTCTCCACGTTTTGCTGATGGAAGCGAAGAGGAAGTTAACCCTAGCACATTGTTGAATTTAAATAACAAGTGTGAAGCTTTTGAATCTACAGGTGTCTCTTTACCTGTAATTGTAGGTGATTATGTCGAACAGCAGGTGGAGCTATCTCCCCAGTGTGTATTGCCCCCTGTGAGTGACATCCAGTTAAGACAAGAATGCTTTGGTGATTATAATGTGGAAGTTGGTGAATGTGAGGAGGCAGCTGAGGCCAAATTCATACCAGATGGATGCACTAAGACAGCCAGTAAATCCTCCCCTGATTATCACAGATATCTTGTACATTCTCAACATTTTGCTCGTGAAAACAACTGTGATGAAGAAGATTACCTCAATACTTTGCATAATTCAAACTGCAAGACTGATGTGTCAAAATCCACTACCTCGACTTCACCTGTAGTTGATGTGTGTGAACAACAGGAGGCTCTGTCGCTACAATGTGAACTGCCCCCCTTGGGTGTAAACCAGGAAGCCACACAACAGGTGCTCAGCCAGGCCTCTCCACCTTTGTCAGCAGTTTCCATGGAGCCAGCCAATCACGCTGCTCAGAGTGAAGGTAGTGCGGTAGTTATCGGAGAGAGCAGGGTGGGGCATGGCATAGAAGAAAGAGAAAGCCGGCAGATAAGAGAAGAGAACAGGCCATTTAAAGTGAGTGAGACTGAGGCACAAATCAGAAGAGTTTTGAAGTCGAACCAGGAGCTTAAAGGTGACGAGAGCAGTCTTTTTTTTTTCCAGCACAGCATAATGGAGAGCGACTCGTGTGATGAGAGTGACAGTGGAGTTTCAGCAGACTTTTCTCCCGGGAGCACTTTGGAGAGTGGTGGTGGTGGTTCAGCTCATGTGCACAAAGAGACCCCCATCGAGAGGGAGATACGCAGGGCTATAGAGCGAGAACACAGCCTGAGAAGATCCAGAGGGCTGCCCCACCTGCCCACTGCCCCGGAATACGTGGAGATACCTTTAAAAAAACCTGTTTATAACTCATCACTTCTTTCTACCAAGTCGGAAAGAGGCCAAGGCAAAGATAAGCTGTTTGCTGGTAAAAAGATGCAGCAAGAAATTCATGAAGAGGCCCGAAGGGAGCAGGATTTGGTCAAGCTCGGAAAAATCCCAGGATTTTATGACAAAGGCACTGTCCGACAGCTCAAAGAAAAAAAACTGATTTTTGAGGCCTTTCAAAATCCAAAAGATTCCGTTAAAAATAAAGCAGTGTCAAATTCAAATGACAGTTCTACTTTAGAGAACAGCTCATTGTGTAACAAAGTAACAAAAAATGGATCTGATCCTAGAAATGACAGGAATTTAAATACTCCAAAGGTTTACCCAGAATCAAAGAACCGCCAGATTATTATCATAGAAAGCAACTCAAATTTCCCTTCAAAACGAGCACAAACGAACACAAACAAAGACGCAATTAAAGTGGTTGATTCGAGTAAAGAGAAAGCAAGAAAAGTTCAAGATGTAACAGCTCTGGATTTACCACCAAAGGAGAACCCTTTTTTCAAGTTGCGTTCCTCTACATCTGTTGTGAAAGTGGAGCAGGACATCCGGGAGGCTCAGGAGAGAGAGAGGGAGATTCTTAAGCAGCGGATCAATCTTTATGGGACCCAGCCAGTAGGGGAAAAAGAGGAGAGACCAGCTGCTATAGAAGAACACAGTAGCACATTGTCTTCACTGAAAGCTTTGCCTGTTCAAGACTTACCTGACCTCAGCCAAAACGGGGTTACAACCACCACTGCAGGTTAGTCCTCCTGAAAGTGTGATTTTTTTTTTACACATATATATATTTTTTGCTTGACCAGTCTTTATATGTGTGGGTGCGATCATTTTAACAAGATGATGAAAACTGTCTGAAACAGCCCAGTGCGTACATTACTTCATATTTTATTGGGCCAGTGGGAAACCTCCAAACAGCTTTTACAAACTATTGGTTGACTTTTTCAGTAATAACTTCCCACCAGAGACATCGAGGGAGCACAACTTTGTAACTGGCACTGTAAACAGAGCATCCGTCTGTCATGTTAGGGAGTGAAAAATAAAGAGCAAGGCTTGAGTCATATCTCAGGGACTGTTGGTGAGAGAGGGAGAGGAAGTTAAATGTTTTCTAGTGTATTACCTTAGTTTGACTACATAGGACATTGGTCTCCATTCAAAGTTTATGTAGCCAGTTGTATGTATGGATCTATGAAGACCTCTCCATGAGTTTCAGAATGACAATGATCGAGCACCACAGTAATTAACTATTCAAAGCAAAATTTAAATGTCATTTGAATGGGCAAAATTTTTCAGAATGTCACAGGAGTATCACGGGAAGGTGAAATGAATGAATATGTGTGAGCAACATGAAACCAAAATCTAATGGAGGAATAAACTAAGTATTGATCATCAAACAAGGTGGTATATACAATTGATTGATTGACTGATTTGTTTTTATTTTGAGGAAAGAAAAAAGAATCATATATACTAAAGTGTAAACAACAGAAAAGCACATTTCTCGAAAAGGAACGGGAAGAAGAAAACTTGTATTAACCCACCCCTATTCAGTACACAGTTTCAAAAATTATATTATACAACAATAATAAATATGTGTTAAATCTTGTACAAATTTTAAGTCCTTAATAGGCCTGTGCTATTTATCTTGAAAGAAATTAATACTAAAAGTTGCTGACCACAAAAAACTGGGCTAGCACTCACTTGAAATTTGAATCGTAAATCTTGATTGTGGTTGAAACTACGTGCATGGCTGAACAGTTGTTTGCATGCTTGGCTGTTGCCATGGAATACACTGTTTGTGTTTTTCTTATTGTTACACAAATAATGGTGTTTCTTCGTCCACTTTGAAACAAACTGACCAGGGCGTGTCAGTGCCATTCCTTTAATATGACGCACGAAATAAAAGACCATGAAACAAATATGACTTTTTATGATAGGGTGACCATATCCAAACTCTCCACCTTCTGCATACTCTCTGATGACCTCTCCAATTCTTTTGTGTATTTGATTATCATGAGCTCATGCCTGCACACAAAGGCTGTTTCATTTGTATTGCCATGCCCACATTGATTCATGTCTGTCTGTTGTAGCTCGTAATTCTTCTGGAAAACTTAGCATGTGGCCTCCTGCTCCGACTGAGAACAGTCACCAAACAAAGGTGAGCCTTGGTTACACATCTGGATCAACAATTCACCTCTACTTATCTGGAGCACTTGCATAAAGATGTAGGCAAATTATAGGCAAATTATTTACTTTGATCTACTAAGAATGGACTACACACATGGCACATTGTTACACTGTGGCTGGGAAGGGTAGGGCAACCAGGGACGTAACAGGAGTCTAGGCTGGAGATGTGGAACTAGTGTCCTTTTGGGGCAGATGTTTTAATAAGGGGATACTGTAATATTCATTCATCATTGCCCACAAACAAACATTTGTATTCTTACAGCATATAGAAACAGAGTAAATTACAAGTGGCTTTATGTCATTTCTGTTTGGATCGGACTACATAGTAAATCAATCACAATTAGGACTGGTTTATTTCATGAAAAAAACTTCAGGCTATATTGCCCTGCCCCAGTGACAGTGTTGAATTTGTCAGACTTGTACAACTCATTGCATTTGCCCATTTTAACAATAGTAATATAATATGCAGTATAGTCATTTAAGACAAACCTTTAACCATGAAAAAAAATTGTTATACCTGACACAATTTTAGCAGCGCTATATGAAAGGCCAGAGAAGGATAAAGTGAAAGACTGGTGTTAAAGGTCCATTGCGAAACTTTTCTGGTGGAGAGTCCATCACCTGCTAGTTTCTATTAATATGTCATTGCTCTGCCTGGATTGTTCTAGCCTGATTCATCAGTCGGTTTCACTTCGTGGAAATTGTCTGACCTCGCCGCATTAGAAATTGTTCGCTTGGCGGTAGGCGGGTACTTTTTTAATTTAACCAATCGCTGCTATTTGGTCGTGAAATATGTAATGCGCCACTAACAGGGCTAACTGGTATATAAAGCTTTTCCCAAATCCCATAGGAAGAAGGGCAATAACGTCTTTCCCCTTGATAAAATTCACCAAACATTCTCTTTGTTCCGGCTTTAAATCTCAATCTCTGGAAGTGTTGCCAACATGGCTCTTCGCTGATTGACTGGTGCCCAGACTCGCACTTCTGGGGTTTTTGCTACTCGTCTAGTGTATTCCTATTCCTGACCTAGTCGCTGGACAGAAATGAAATTGAGCAGAGGCACTAGGTGGTGCCAGCCTGGCTAGGATTCTTCCACGGTGTGACATTAAACAGCTCTACCTTACATTTATTCAATTACAGGTGAGTTTATAGCTCAAAATACCTAGAAAAACGTGTATTCTGCCTGTGAGTGGGGTTGCCTCTCCACAGATTTGACCTGTAACTTGGTCTGTTTCAGTCTCCATGAGAATAGAAAGGGTCCATGGAGAAAAGCATTTGACCCTCCACCAGAAAAGTTACACGATCCACCTTTAAGACAAACTATTAACTTATGTATTGCACCTGTTCTCAACCACCATGTAAAAAGTGTCAGTTGTCGTAGCTGCTACACTGATAGCAGCGCTGTTTGAAAGCCCAAAGAAGAAATTTATATATAAAGTAAAAAACTGGTGTAAAGGAAAAACATGCTGCGGAGAAGGTCACATGGGGGCAGAGGATTCACCACGGCGACCCCGAAGGGAACAGTGCAAGGCAAAAGAACTTTGATTTTGCAACTCGAAACAGAAAGGGAGTTTGTGAAGGATTCAGCAAAGATTGGCCCATGGGAGCGTGTCAGCATCTCTCCGCAGTCTATATGGGCCACAAACATCTGATAACATACCAAACACACAGTAAGAAGCTTATCTCCATAGATAAGGGCAAGATGGGGAGAAGTCCTTGGAGAGAAAAGAAAGGAGGAAGAGAAGCAGGCGGAATTCGGATTAGCTTTTTTTTGCATGTGTGGGCAGATTTGAAAGTGTGAGTAAATGTGTTTGCTGGGTATATCATTGAAAGAGAGACTGACAGGGCTAGAGGCTTGTGCTTTGTGCGTTTTGTATGCCTTTGATTCGATATACAGCGGTGGTGCATTTCTCCTTTCAGATCGTATTTCACTGGTGATGTGTACATGGTGTATACGCCGCTATAAAGTTCACTGAGAAATGGTAGTTTTACAAAAATCCTTTTATCAAGTTTTCTACCAATATCCTATAACACAATATATAAATACACACATCAAAATCACATCTTCTATCACTTTTTAAAAGTAAAACCAATACATAGTAAAGGTGCATTGCATAACTTTTTTTAGTGGAGGGTCTGCCACCTGTTTGTCATCATGGAGATGTTATTGCTTGGTCTAGAATGTTCCACAGTAAAAATTAAACCTGTCTATCTCAAGGAAGAAAACTATAGGCTACATTACAGAACAGATCTGTGAAGAGTAGGGCTGGGTATCATTAAGAAGTTGCCGATACGATACATACCTCAATATATATACCACGATACGATACATATCTTGATACAGTGCACTTTCGATTTGATACAATATATTTCAAATCAATTCGATACAGTTCAATAAAAATAATGGCTAAATGATGGTTGTGATACTATGGTTTGTTAAACCACTTCTTTTGCAAAGTGAATATGAAACAAACATTTTAATCCTCAAAGCAGTGAATATGTCAAATGTGTTGCATAAATGAGTTTCCTTCCTCTACTCTTGGCAATATATCAATACAACAACCCAAGATATCGATACTGTATCATCGCATTAAACGATATGATATATTGATATTTCGATATTTTTGCATACTGCTAGTGGAGAGGCAACCCTATTCACATAGAGAATCTTTTATATTTGAAGAATGGAAACACCCCCATAATGAATAAATGCTAGATAGATGTGTTTAATGTCATACCATGGAACATTCCATAACATATCCAGGGAGACAAGGGTGACAGAGGACAGACTCTTCACCAGAAAAGTTGCTCAATGCATCTTTAAGTATGCAAAGAGCAATTTTCCCTATGGGGACAATAGGTTCACTATATACTATATAATTGCCATTGATTGAAAAGTGAAGTGAAGTGAGCTCTGACTTTGCATTGAAAATTTACTTTACATTGAAAAAATGTCACCCTTCTCTCTGTACCTGCTGCTGTGAGCCTCGTCATTTTGGTCTTAAAATGATCGTATTAACCTGCTCTATATGATCCTGGTGTTATTATTTTGCTATTTCATCTGTATAAATGTACCAAATACACTCCTATAAGTAGTAGTCTTAGTGAACTTCATTTGACTTCATTTGAGACTATGGGTTCACATCATTATACCGTCTATTGAAAGCACCCATTTTACAGGATTAAATGGCACGATTGACATATTAATAATAGACTGTTATAAGCTTATTTTCTATCTTCTCTGTGATCCTGAAATGTTAAAGACATTCAAAGACATCATTTAAATATTGGCTTTTCAGTGGCTAGTTCCTCATCAGCATTAGTTGAGAGAGATGCCGCTTCAGCCCATTGACTTGGTTACACAGGGAATGCTGGTCCCTTCTGTGTGTCTATCTGGGCTTGTTAGTTATCTGCGTTCCACAGCCTTGCCTCCTGATTACAGCGGACGAATAATGTAGGAGCGAATTGGCTTCAGTTGTTGACTTTAGTCACAGTGAGCGGGGCCTTGGCGCACAGTAGCATTAACCTCCCTCTGACTTACTGCCTTTGCTAATGATGCTGATCCAAAGAGCACTTCTCTGGGGGGAAACAAACATCCTTTATCACCCCACGCATTTGCTGTCCTCCGCTAGTCTTAGTACTGTCACAATATCACATTTCAAAGTTCGATACATAGATGATAGAAGAAATATAGATGATAAATGATAATACTGAAACAAATTTATGCCACTGACTCAAAAAAACCAAGAGCAAATTTAAACCACAAAATCAATTTTAAATGTAGCATATTGTTCAAAAATCATGAGCTTTAACAGATAGCTGAAAAAAAAAACACTTTAGTACTTACTTTGCATCTGGACCATAGTTATTAATTCAACCATTTACTGCTTAAAGGTGCATTGCGCAACTTTTTTGTTTGTCTCCATGGATGGATGTTATTGCTTTGCCTGGAATCTTCCATGGTATGACATTAAACACGTTTCTAGCATCTATTCATTACAGATGGTATTGCTCAAAAGGTCAGTATTTCGCTTTGTGAATAGGGTTGCCTCGCTACAGATCTGACCTGTAATGTAGCCTATAGTTGTGTCCCTTGAGATAGATAGGTTTAATCATTCTAGACCAAGTAATAACATTTCCATGAAGACAAGCGTATATTCCTTTATACAAATCTGATATAAAATAATACAAAAATGGTGGGAGGTGGTTGGTGCTTTCCAATTTATTATCATTCTATTACAGCATTATTAACTGTGCCTGCTTAAGTTGATATAGTAATAATTTTGACAGGCCTATCCTCAGTCTTATATTTTCTTTCTTTTCCTCAATCACACCATCATAATGCCTTTTAATGTGTCCACCCAGGTTCACCACTGTCCACGGACCCCCAGACAGAAGACTCCACTGGTACAACGCTGGGAATCAGGCTTATTTGATGCACAGGATGACTGAAAGTGACTGTAAATGATGAAAACGAAGAATAAAATATTGTATTATACAACAAGGACAAGTGAAGGAGGCAGTAAGAGAAAGGGCTGAAAGTCCAAGCTGGAAACGGGGTCAGGTGGATTGGGAGCACAGGGAGGATCGCCGATGAACTGAAAACCCTGAAATGTCCTTTAGTTGAGGAAGAGCAGAAAAAGGAAGAGGCGGTGTAGATATGAATGTGTAAGGACTTGGCCTGCTTCTGTGCTGAAACACTAATGTAGTTTTGTAGGGCTGCAGAAAAGAAATGAAATAATCAGAAAAAAATTAGAAAACACATAATATACACCTTGTCGTTGTTCTATCTCCTCATCTTGATTCATTGCTTATTTATGCTTAAAACTACTCCATTTATAGGACTCAATTGGCTGGTCTTTTTTCAGTCAATCAAGCCAAATAACAACCATATTCAAACTAATGGAAGCTGAAACCAATGTGTCATCATCTTAAAAGCACTCACAGTATTATTACATATCAAAATCTTTTTCAGCAACCTTTTTCAAAATTATGGTGTTAGCATCAAGCCTCTCCAAATAACTTACAATGTAATTTGTAATGATTTATATTTTATTCTTTATTAAATTGTCTATTGAAAATTATATATATAGAACTATTCTATTCTGTGTGGTCAGTGCAATAAATGAATTGCACTGAACTCCATTTTAGAAATACTTGTACTTTTGTTTTTGCAGGTTTATGAAAATGTTATGAGGCTAGTTTTAAGGTCATTTAAAGGTCATTTATTATACAGAAATTACTCTTGTAAGCTTAGAATGTTGCTACCTCATCAAAAACAAATCTGAAGTTGTGTTTTGTTTTATTCACACTTGTTTGAGTAACTCCTAACAATTAGTTTGCCTATATCTCCAAAGCTCAAAATGCTCTATTCAACCTTGTGATATCATGTAGTGGTAGTTTTAAAGTTACCAGCTGCATTTTACCTTTAGTTTAGTAGAGATTGGCACTTCCAGGGCTGGAATTATCCAAAAGATTCTGATGAAGGTGTATATTACCACATAACATCACAAGTTAGAACAAAGTGTATTTTTGTCTGAGAGAAGAAACAGCCTAAATATGCAGGATTTGTGTGTTAAACATGTGTGAATGAAACAAAATACACCTTCGAGTATGTTTTTGATGAGGAAAAAACATTATAACAGATCAGAAAATAGCATAATATGGGTCCTTTGACACAAATGTCCAGCAAAACCACAGATCTTATATTGTTCCACGTGAGATGTTCCTAATGAACTGTCGCCTCCTTTATTTAAAATGGGGCACTGATAGTTGCACACTTATTCTGTAAATCACTTTTGTTTCTTTTAAATAGATATATGTTCAAGAAGTTGCCACTTGTTGTAATTAAATTGTCATTATTGCTTCTGATTTGACATAGAGCTATAAATGTTGAACTTTGGAATGATCTGAGTCTATTTATTCACTCTTACCAAAGCTATTCTGCAGCACTGCGCCAATGGGAGTTACACTTATAACATTGCATAGTAAGTAACTGAACCCAATTATCATTTTGGGTTTCCTTCTTTTGCATACCCTGTAATGAAATAGAAATGTGTCTCCATGGATACGCGTTTCAGGAAATGCAGGAAGGAGCAGCTTGAATGGCTTCTGCTTTTCTGTGCGGATCTATTTACAAAAGCTTACATGAGGTCAACTAAATTACCATGCGGCCTTCAAGCACATAATGGGGTATGGCATTGTGCGGCGCTGGGGTGAGATCTGCAGACGACGCTTTAGTGACCTCGCAATCTCCTGTGAATAATTTATCAACTCATTCTAAGTGGACACAAGTCAGTGACATTGCAGTACTATTATAATAGACACACATATTCCCCGCTGGTCAAGCTTGTGTCAGTTAAGAAAGTGTGTGTATCATCAAGTATGACATCTCATCTGCCTACCGTCTCCCCTATCAAAAGTACCATCCACTAACCAGTCACAGCATAGGCTTTTCATAAATTAAGTCATCATTATAACAGTAAAAATGTGCACACCTGCCTATCACCTGCTCAGCTCTGCATTTCACATTTCATTATCAAACCTCCAGGCAGTGCGTTGTGTGAAAAAGAGAGAATGATCCACCTATGGTTCTAGCTACGAATGGGCAGCAGTTTTTACATGATCCATGTACACAAAACTAGAGCTATATAAGAATAACGCCTGCCTGGTGGTGGCTGTGTGGGCGTCTTCCACTTTGATGTTAAAGAGAAAGGGGAATAAAATTACAGAGCTGAGTCACACTGAATCAACACAGACCCCTGACAGGAAATTTCAACAGGCACCACTTTATTATTGTACCAAAAGGGAGAATAAGTGCTCCATACTGCTATGGCCATAGTGGATGATTATATGGTTGATACAGTTACGGACACAGTAAGTGTCAGATGCATTTCACAGCTACTGCAACTATTCGTAAATATATGTTTTTATACCCATTATTAAGATTTACCGGTTAAAGAACAAGAAGGTTCTTTCTATTATGGTCTGTTGCTCTGCCGGGTGTATGCACTCAGGAGTGTCAGGCAGTAGTCTTAATCAAAAAGCTTTTATGAAGCATTTTGCACCATTAAAAATACAGTATGAACATAGTGAACGAACTTCAGATCTAAATGCATTTAATGTTAAAGGTCCTATATTAAGCAAAATGGACTCTTGTCATCTTTAAGCCATGTTACAATGTTGTTACCTCATCAAAAACATACCCAGAATTGTGTTTGGTTTCATTCACGTTTGAGTAATCCTTTATTATTAGTCTGTCTACATCTCCAAAGCTCAAAATGCTCTGTTCCACCTTATGATGTCATGAAGTTTTACCTTTTGTTTAGTAGGGATAGGCAACTAATTAAAATGATCGTGATGAAGATGTATGGAGTTTAAAAAGCACAGGAGCACTTCCTGTAGTAGTGTTTTAACATGTGTGAATGAAACAAAACACACAAAACAAAAACAACTCCAGGTTTGTTTTTGACACAGGTGACTATCCTAACAACTAGTTAACTGCTGGACACAGTCTGCAGTTCTTGTTTTTTGTTTTCTACATTTTAAACACAAATAATATTTCAAGTAACTTCACAGTGTCACCACCCTAACCCCGCTATACCAGATATACAAGATCATGTCATGTTTGGTTCTAATCATTATCTAACCTTTTATTCAAACGGGCCTACCCATATTTGCACCTGCATATCAAAACCTATAAAGCATGAGTACAGTATGCGTGCTAGTAAATTATGACTCAGATCTGAATATGAGTCAGACAAATTGAGCACGGAATTCATCCTGGCCTCTCGGGTACAAAGAACAAGCTGGTGTGACTGTCTGACACTTATAAATGGCTACAGGCTGCTGCTACATTGGAGTGCACAGACTGAAATGTAATAAGAGTTTTGACTTATAAAGTAGGGACCCAGTGCCTCCTGAACAGTGATGGCTCTTTCAAGGGAAGCTGGCAGTTACAATGAAAAGATCTGAATTGGCTGTAGTATATATCCAGGTTAGGGCCCAAGGTTAAAAACACTCCAGTATCCATGACCCTCACAGAAGATCAGTCTATCTGAAATTTACTTTTAACGGGGTTCAAATGAGAGGCATGTTCAGTAATACAACCTAAATATTGTTTTCAACACATTGCATTATAAACTTAATGTACGCGTGTCATGTTGTACTAAAAGGGCGCAGCAAAATTGGGATACATTTCTTTCTACATTGAAATAACTTGGGAACTACTGCTTATCATGTTGTAGAAAATGGTGCCCTCTTCTGAGCATCATCTCCAACTACAGCAGACTCAATAAGGGTGCATTAATACATCAAAAAAGGGAGTACATAGGACTAAAGCAGGTCTGGAAGAGGTCCAATCCAGACCTAATCCTGAAATCCTGAAATCTGAACCAAACATGAACAGGTGTGAATCTACCCACAATCACAGACCATCTCAAAAAATGAAAGGATCATGAAAAGAATGCTCTATATTTTGTTACTCATTTCTCATATAGATGATCTTTAATAGTTCACCTGTTGTTTCCTCTAGTTAAAACTGCCATTACACATTGTTGGGAAGTAAATGAATACAGATACAGAGAATACACATCAAACTGTATCAAACTGCACAAAAAAATAAAAAACGCAACTCTTGTGGTAAGTGCTTCTGCAATTTGTGATAGGAAATGTGTAACAAATGGTGAAACAAATATAAAGCTGTGTTGCCGTTTTTTATACTCTATTTAAATGCAACTCTGCACTTCAACGTATTCAGAATACAGTAGTTTGATTGGACCATGTATTAGAATACAGTACAACATTTTAATGCAGGTATTCTATTTTGTAACTAAAAATGTTTTGAAAGTATTCTTCTCACCACTGCCATTACAAAAAACATATTTATTATTAACAGTTGTACAAATTGTAAATATATATACAATTGGTGATGAAATGTTAACATCAACAATATATTAAACATTTTAAAAGTTGAGTAACTTTTCTGATGGAGGGTCCATCAAACACTTTTCCCCATGGAGATGTTATTGGCTTGTCTAGAATTTCACAGAATGGTATTAAACCTTTTCCACCTACATGGAGACTAGACCAAGTTACAAGTCAGATCTACGGAGACACAACCTCGCTCACAGTTAGAATGTCTGTTTTTCCAGGTATTTTTGAGCTTTAAGATTAATGTCATACCACGGAACATTCCAGGCAGAATAATGACACATCATCAAAATACCATTGCTATAATATTTGCAATTATCTTGACACACAAATGACATTCTTACATGCACATAAGTAAAAGTACAGGACATTCAATAAATATTTTACAAAACATGTTGCACAAACAAACAAAGCTACCTCACATCCTGTCACTTGTATTTTCCCAAAACATAAAAGAGGAACTTGTCTTTCCTGTCCACTGTGTGACTGGAACTGGTACTGATACTGCAGTGATGGAAGAAGTACTACATTTTGTTACTTAAGTAAAAGTCACAGGAAAAAATCTACATAAGTCAAAGTATTTAAGTACCTGTTTAAAAATGTACTTAAAGAGTAAAAAGTATTTTGCTGAGATTTTTAGAAACAATTAACGAATGAAACGTAGTGATTTTGAAAAAGAATTTAACATATTTTAAGTGATTCAATTGACGTCTTAATTTTTCCAGCCGTTTTTGTGTATTTGGTTCGCTGGAAGTGGGGATGTTAACTCAAATTAACAAACCATAAAGAAAAGTACTTTTTAATTTTCAGTCCAGATTCAAAATGTAATGGAGTAGAAAGTAAAGATACAAGTTGTCAAAAGTAAAGTACAGATACCTAAAATTTGTATTTACATTTTGTACTTTTACTTTTGTACTTTGTTACCTTCCACCACTACTGATTTGACAAAGTATGAACGTCCAGAATGTCAATAGCTTGGGATGACTGGGGTTGTGAATGTAGACAGCGGATTCCACAAATGGGATGTTTGAGCAGAGTCTGTGTGACCATTTGTCCAGTCCTGCACATGACACAAAATATAAAATAAACATAATTACAACATATGGACATATATACGTCTTAATAATGTTTCACCACTGTCTTCAATGTCACAAATAAGTACATTAGAAGCTCGTAAGAAGTACATTACATCTATGTGTGAAAAAACTAAATCATATTTGGTTTTTCAGCAGCACTGTAATGTTATTAGGCAAAATGGATTCTTGTGAGCTTTAAGCCAGGCTATAATGCTGTTACCTCCTCAAAAACATACCAGGAGTTGTGTTATGTTTCATTCACGTTTGACTAATCCTATTATTAGTCTGTATACATCTACAAAGCTCAAAATGCGCTGTTCCACAGTGTGATGTCATGTAGTGGTAGTCTTCAAGTTAGAAGCTAACTTTTACATTTAGTTCCTCAGCTGAAATCATCCAAATTATTCTAGTGAAGATGTATGGAGTTTAAAACGCAGTGGAGCACTTCCAGTATTACCACATGAGCTCAGCCTAACTATGCAAGATTCACATGAATGAAACACAACACAACTTCTGGTACGTTGTCACGAGGAAACAACATTACAACATAGCTCAGAAAATGGCGTAATATGGGCCCTTTAATATGGTACATCCTATCACAAAAAATATTAAAGTGTACGTCTGGTTGCCCCTGTTGTCTGTTATCAGATGATAAGAACAGCTAACTCAAAGAATTGGCAGTCCACAAAGAAAGTGTCATGGGAGGCAATGCAACCTAATTAATGCCTTTCATGCAACCAATTAATAAATCAACTCTGGGACAATATAAATACATTTATATGCACTTGTATGCAGTGTTCAGTAGAATGTTTTCCACTATTGGTACATTTCTGTATATGGATTTGTAGTTGTTTATATCAAGGATTACAAGATGTTTAGAGATGTTCTTGGAGGAGAGGAGAGAGAGAGAGAGAGAGAAGAAATTTCATGAATACCAAATGCAGCAAAATGGTGCACAGATCTTGGTAAAAACTAAAATTCTTTTTAATATTTTATTGTAAATATTTATGAATCAAATTGAGTTTACCTGAGAAGTAAAGCTTTGACGTGGGAGAGTGAGATCTGTGAAACAATACAGGTGAAAATTAACCACAAACAACTTTTGACATATACTCGTAATATGCAAAAAGTACTATCTGGGCTATTTCTCAGTTGGTCTTACTTCAATAACTTCATGGTCTTGATAAAGATTGAACGTAAAATATAACTATATAGCAAAATAGATACCAACTTTGAAGGCCAATTACTCACCTACTATATGGTCTTTACCATGAACCTGTGTCCAAAACTGAGCCTCCTCCCTGAAAACAAATTGTTTAGTGAAAATTCTTCATAATCTGACATACATAACAAAAGTAAATAATAATACATTGTACCTCACACATCATAAGTTATAAAGCCAATCAATGACTACACAGAAGTTACTTAAAGGGCCCATATTACACTATATTCCTCTTCAAAAACATAATTGGAATTGTGTTGTGTTTCATTCACATGTTTAAGCCACAAATCCTGCATATTTAGGCTGAGTTCTTCTTTCAAAGGAAAAACACTCTGTTCTATCTTATGATATCATGCAGTAATACAGGAAGTGCTCCATTGTGTTTTATACTCCATGCACCTTCACTAGAATCAATTGGATAATTTCAACACTGGTATTGCCAATCTATACTGAAAAAGATAAAAAGTTACTCTTAATTTGAAAAATACAGCTTGACAGTATCAAGGTGGAACAGAGCACTTTGAATTTTGCAAATGTAGACAGACTAATAATGTTGGGTTGTGAATTAAAAACACAAGGTATGTTTGATGAGGTAACAACATTATAACGTATACGGCTTAAAGCTCACAAGACGTTATGTAATATAGGACCTTCAATAGATACAGCACATTATAAATGCAAATACCTTTTCTTTTTTGCATCCGCTGCTGCCTTCACTGCAAAGTACAATATAAATTATCAAAAATATTGATATGCTCTAAATAAAAAGACAATCCATTAAAAAAAGACAATACTTTTTCTATGGAGCATCACAATGAGGAGAGCCAATGAGCAGAGGAATAACACCACAGCTGAAAGAGAGCCCAAAACCAGGGGCCAGTCCACACCAAAGGAGTCTGCAAACAACCACCAGTCGCGTTATAAGCATCTCATCAAAACAGTGAGTTTGGTGACAGGAAATCAAATCAGCCTACCTGCTGTAGGCGCAGAACTGTTTCCTACACAAAGAGATACATATAACATTTTTAACTTAAGTTTTAACAAAATTGTTAACATAATACAAAAAATCTGATTTTATTTTTGGTAATTTACTTCTATTTTGTACGTTTATTGTCATTTTAACCATTCAGTGTTAGGTACTGCATTATAACTCCTCTCTTTATATTATTATTATTAGTTATTGACTCTATTGGATGTGGGGGCTGTATTTTTGGAACCTTACAATATAAAAAACTTCCTGAATTTTTTTTATGACTAAATGCATATTGTAGCTAACAACTATTCACTTTTGATTTTGATTAGATTTGAGTCTTTTAGTAAAATTAAACCTACACAAACTGTGCATACATACCTTGTGACATAGACAGGGGCAGACTGCGCTCTGATTGGCTCCACTGTCTTCCCAGCAAGACTCTGTATTCACACTGGTACAGAGCCACTGGTGTGTCCTGGACTGGCACTGAGAAAATGGCCCGGTGTTCGGTCAGTTTGGCCTGGTACGACTCTACAGGCAGATCATGACCCTGCAAGTACAGAGAGAACCCAGCACCAGGGTACGCGGGGGAGCCACGACACAGCAAATGCCACACGTCCGACTGCTTGTCCAGGATCAGGGTGGGAGTGGGCAGCAGGTCTAGAAGGAAATCAGACAACAACGTAATTAAAAACATACTTCTTAACCAGTGCACATAAGTAAAATAAGCACATATTGTACTGTTTTTGATCACTGTCTTTACTGGTTGTGGTGGCAGCAATCTATATAATCACAAGATCTGCATTTTTTTAAACCTTTATTTAACATTTAAATAAAACTTTGTTAAAGTTTATTAAAAGTTAAAAATTCAGTTTTCAAGTATTCCAAGTGAAGGGATAATATATAAGACAGAGCTCAGTAAAACAAAAGAAAATACAGCACAATAGATCAGTTTTATGTAGTGCTTTTTTGGACACTCAAAAGATGCTTTACAGAGCATTATTCATTAATAGGGGTGTAAGAAAAAATCGATTCAGTGATATATCGTGATACTTCATTGCACAATTCTCGAATCGATTCAAAATGCAACAGAATCGATTTTTTTAAATAATATTTTTCACAAAAATTCATTATTTACATTCACTGTTCTGATGATTTAAACATTTTTATAAATTATATTTCATTCAAGTGTGTTCGCGTGAAGTTGCCGTTGACTGTATTGATAGAAGTAATTTTTGATAAATCGTAATATATTGTCCTATGTTTTAGTATTGCGATATATTTGGATATATTGGGATATATCGAATCGTGACATGCACATCATGAAATGTATTGTATCATCAGACTTAAGGCAATGCACACCCCAATTCATTAACTCCACACTCAATGATGGTAAGCTACTATTGTACCCACAGCTGCCCTGTGGCAGACTGACGGAAGCTCCATCGGCCCTCCAACCACCACCAATCACGCATGTACATCACTTTCATACAAGGCAATGTGGGTGACGTGGGTAAGAGCACAATGACAGGTTTTTGCCACTGATGCCTCACTGTGGCACCTGAAATTCCCAGCGGTCTCCCATCCAAGTACTAACCAGACCCAGCCCTGTTTAGCTTCTGAAATCTGACAAGATCAGGCTTTGACAAGCCGATATGGCAGTTAGTCATAACATAAACAAAATACAGAAACAACCAGATCTAGTCTCCTTAAACATGCACCAAACTTGAGAAGAAGAAGTAGGGGGATATAAAATCAGTCAGTAGCAAGTGTGAAGACATTAATCTGGAACTGAGGGAAAATGAACAGGCTCATTAAAATAAAAACACGGATCTCATGTTTTCTTAAAGGTTTTCAGAGAGCCCCGACAGTACATCTTACTTTTTCAATGTTGACAAAATACACAATGTCTCTAATCCAGGCATGGACATTGGAAGAGATGCATTTTAACAGATGCTACAATAAAGACATAAACATTGAATGATTATGAATATTCACCTGTGACAGTGACTTGGACGATATTACTGACACTTGAATTTTGCAGCCCCTCTCCTCTGTTGACCTGGTACAGACAGGTATATTGACCCTGCTCTGCACCTGTCACTGGGCCCACGCTGAAGACTCCCGGCTGTGGCTCAGAACTCAATGAGTGGCTGAACTGAGCTTGTGGTACGACTGTTAACCATTTGGAGTCTGCAGCTACACCTCTCAATAGCATAAACAGCACTGGGCTGTTTGCTTGATATAGAGGCAGAGGAGGTGGAAGAGAACAGTGGAACAAAAGCATTTCTCCACGTTTCACCAGTCCACTAGAGGGTTCCATTGACAGAATAGGAGGATCTGGATTCAGTGGTATGGGGAGGCTTGGACCAGCATCTAAGTAAAAGCACAGTGTTTTTATTATGTTTGTTATATGACATTATAGAGACTAAAACAAAGAAACCCTATTAGTATGAATTCCACTATTCCTGTCATAGTAACATATTGAAGTATGATATATTGCTGAACAAAATATAGATGAGAAATAATAATACTGAAACTAATTTATACCACTGATAAAATAACCAAAAAGCATGATTATCTCCAAAAACTTTAGCTGCAAAAAATAAATAGCAGAATGAAATACTGCATTAAAAAAAACATTACTATTTACATCATGAAGAGCATAATAAGTGAATATGCAAAAGTGAAGGAAATATTGGGGAGCAAGAGGTTTGTTATAAAGTACTTGTCAAGGTAAGGAGGGGAGATGCAATATTAAAAACAATAATGGAACAAATCACAATAAAAAGTAATAATAATAATAATAATAAAAACTAATAGCAAACGTATACATATACACACACACTAGATTTTGTACTCAGTATTTTGCCACTGCTTCTAACCACATTCACCACAGTAACCGTCAACAAATCACATGACACTTGGCTGTGTACTTAAAGTTGAATGAGTGCAATTCTGGGTGTGCAGTTTTCATATGAAGAGCAGGATGTAGCTATCACAGCACACACCCAGAGCAGAGGACAATATGAGACCACAGGGAGCACCTGAATCTGAGCAAGAAAGAGAGGCCGGATGGTGCTGTTTATTATCTTATACCATATGCTGTTGCACCTTCGTAAAGTTCTAGATTATACAAGGAGGCCTACCTTCTGCTTCATCCGCTTGTTTTGATTTCTGTTTGATTTCATGTGAGTTGAAAATGAAATTGCATAGTCCAGTGGCTCTCAAACGTTTCACACCAAATACCACCAAGGAAAAGATTGGAAAAGGATTTTTTACCACCAGATCTAAATCAAGTCTATAACTATATAATAAGACTATTCCATGTGTAATTTAGGGCTAAACCAGGTCTAGAAGTGTACTATATAATTTCAAAATCATCCATACTAACTAAAAAGTGGATAAAATGAACTATATATGAGGCAAACCGACAAACTGAAGTGCTGTCCCAGTACCACCTGATGTAGATTGTGTGCCACCAGTGGCTCGCATACATAGTTTGAGAAACACTGGAGTAATCTAGTAGGGCAGTGATATGACAAATTTAATTAATTAATTCCGATACTGATATACAGATATTGATTTGCTGATACCAGTGTCGGTATTGGTGCCCCTACCATTTAGCATAAAAATGTTTTCCAATTTTGTCCTAAACTACATGCTTTTAACTGACAAAGACTTCCAGAATAAAAAGACTATAGCATTTATTGAGGCTTAGTATAACAGAAATTTAACTGCACAGTCCAAATGAAATCATTTCACATCGTAGACATACCTCTTTGCCAATTTATCTCCAAATACGGACTGAATCCACTGTATCTATCCATTGTTTTATACAAACAACAATACAGTTCACGCTGTGATGCGTCACTTGGCCTGACGGTGAAGCGAACCTCTTCAGCACCATGTGGCACATCAATGGAGTTCACCTAAATAACAGCAATTATCCAACCCAATGTTTCAGAAACACTGTTAAAATTGTATGTGTTTGGATTAACCATTACCTTTACTCTCTCTCGGTATAAAGCAAACTGAAGTCCCTTGTGGCCTCCAGGTGCACGACACACCAGGACTGCAGAGTCAGTGGACCTGGATTTCAGGTTAAGTGTTGGGAAGGGAGGAGGTGGCGGAGAAAGCTGAGAAGCTGAGAGTCTTACTGAAGATAAACAGATAAAGACATATAAATCACAAACATTTGACCCTTCATTTTGTGAAATAACTTTAAGGCTACCAAAGATTTTAATTAAGGGAAGGACCCTTTTTGCCATTTATAGACTAAGTCCTTGAAAAATTACCAACACATTACTTCACATTAACTTTCTTCAAATGAACAACTCCAACTGAGGTTTTTAACCCCACCACAGCACTGCTTTTATCAAGGCCACAGATGTCCTCGGGCTTCCGTTGGCTCAAAGAACAGACTTTTAATGTTAATTTAATGATGATTATATGTGTTTTTATTAGTTTATATAGTATTGTTTAATGTCTTTCCTGTTACTTAAATCACTCTGAATTATATTGAATTACAAGTTATGCTACATAGATAAAATTGCCCTGCCTTGCCTGGCTTTAAGAGCGAACAAGAATAAACATTTGGTTTCAAGATTTTGCTCTGTATGCAACTATGTGTAAAGCTGTGCACAAACAACAAAAGTATGCAAACACACAAGTCACATTCTGCTCGTCTTTGCAATGTTACAGTTGGAGGTTCAACTGTAACATAAATATCAACACTGACAACTGTATTTTCTCAGCCACGATTAAGGCCCTCTACTTATTTAGCATATAAATTAATACTAATGACCACCATTTGAATTTTGTGCTGTCTTACCCCAAAGTTGTAGCGATGCAAGTTGTATAATCCAAAGCTTTGTCTTCATAACCCCAAACAGCATCCTTGCTCTAAATAACCGCACACACTCTACAGGAAAATACACATCTCAAATGTTTCTTCTTTTCTTTTTCTTAATCACACTCTGTTTCTCCACCCCTACCCCATATGACACATCCTCTGAAGGCTGAGGTAGGGGAAGTTACAACATGTAAACAGGCTTCCTTTTTTGGTGTTGATAGGATGTGTTGTATTGTATCAATAAATATAGGGTCTTTTTTCATCTCTGACTTCCTGCTCAATTACTCTGTTGTTTATAATTGTCTTTGTCACAACCAGATGTGGGTAGTGCCAAAAATAGTAGGTCTACTAAAGTAAGACTACTGTTAGACTTCTTTGCTGAAGGTGAAGTAGGCTACAGATTAATTGTCAAAGAAATTACTCAAGAAACAAAGTTAGCATATTTGGGTAAACTAAGTCTATTAGGCCTACTTACATAAGTAGCTAAAAGTAAGATAACAACCTGGATGTAACATCTGGTTTATAATTTGAGATTAATTAATTAATCATTGGAAAGACAAAACAATAAGCCAGAAACAATGAACAAAATCTGGCAGCAAAAAGTAGCCTTTCTGAATGAGTGCTGCAGGAGACAAATGTTTACACTGACATTATATTGTCAATATGTGTACACGTGATCACAGTGGGAAGAATAACTAAATATTTACTTAAGTAACCTGTCATTTCTTACTCAAGTAGGAGTAGGCTAGTATGTCGCTGGAAACGAAAAATACTCTAAAAAATGTGTTTAAAAAGTCCAGTAAATGCCTTAACAGTATAGTAAAAGTACACAGTACTACTCACCTTCTGTCACAACATACTTTGTGATGAGGAGAGACTGAGGCGCGGACTTCCGGGTGACGCAGAGCTCATCTTCAGCAGCATCCTCGTGCTCCGTGTCCTCGTGCTCCCTGTGTCATGAAGAACGCGGAGGAGAAGCACCTGAACACACCTAAACACCTAAACACGGCTCTAAAGGATGGACAGTGACCCCAGACGCAGGTCCAAAAGTCAGCTGACACTTCTGAAGACAATGAAACAAGTCTTTGACCTCCTGGAGCCGGACCAGGAGGGGTTTGTTGACATTCAGCTCTTAGTGAAGTTAGCATCACGGTTTGGACCGCACGAACAGGTGAGGAGCGTGTTATTAGCATACACTGAATTAACCTAGTTTAGATAATACCACAAGGGTCAAGATCAACATGTTACTGGGTTTGGCCTTATAGTGAATGCATTATTTACTTGATGTTCAAAGTTTGTGTAACTTGCCCTTTGTCTTGAACTGATTTATGACGGGACAAATATTCCTAAGACCCAAACCTACACTGTCCACACATGTATGCTATCCCTGTTTAGCTTTAGTGCCTATATTAAAATGATCTGCTTTTGTTTTAATTTGCTTTTAATAAATCCAAAAAATATTATCTATCTACAATATAATGGCATAATAACAAAATGACATAGCTTAACTAGGCCTCTAGTTTGAAGGTTCTCCTGGTTCAAGATCTGGACGTCTTGGATTGCCTGAGCATCTTGTAGGATGGCTCAAATGCAGATATTTCCCTATGGGGGCAATAAAGTATAGTGAATGTTTTAGTGTATGTCAAAGTGGTCCTCCCAAAATGCTTTTCTTTAGTTCTCTTTCTGCAGCCAAAGGTGAGTGGCTGTTGTCTCTGATTGGCTCCCTTGTGTTGTGCAGCTCATCAGCGGGACCAGAGCAGAGGCACTGATTAGCCCCTGTGGGAAGTCTGCACAGACCTGGGAAATGGGATCATATGAAATGAAATACATGCAAATACACCTCAGAATAGGCTACTGCAAATTATGTTTCACATTCTTTCTTAGATTTGTCCCTTGTTTTACCATTCCAGTATGTAATTAGAAACATCTTTGAATAATTTAGTAGTCTAATTTATTCAAGGAAAAACCAAACACTTAATACGGTGCATTTGTGTTCATAAACATGTTAATGATGTCTCATCGGTCTGTTTTGGTTTTGCTAAGCTGATTTCAATGTGCCAAAGCTATATCTAATATTAATGTCTTTTACAATCAAGACCAGTGTATCTACTGCTGCTACAAACTTGTGTACAACACAGATTTATGTTTGAAGGCCATTAGAACCATTTAGTGCTGCTGATAACCTCTCCTTTCTACCTAAAGCATCTCAGGGCTGTCCCTGTGCACCCATTTGCTAAAATTAGCGTTGCTAAAGCTGAATGCTGTGGGAATAGATTGTGCATTATTCAGTGGTGCTGTAAAGTGCTTAGAGAGCAAGAGCTCTCAAGGCTTTCCCTGGTCATAGGGGCCTGTGCACTAACATTTATAAGTAGTTATTAAGACAACATGACATAGATATCCCGGACCACTGCTGAAAATTATGTCTTATGTACAGTTTGTTGTTGCACTTTAAGTGCCCATAGCCAATATCTTTTCAGGGTAGTTTCAGACCATATGGACTGATACTGCTGATGCAGAGCATTTCAATGTATACATGCTGACATATGAAAAACACTGTAAACCATATTGCCTAATGTTATGCCTCTTCTTTCTAACGTCTAGGCAAGGAAGTTAGTCGAATGTTTGGACCCCAACTCTCAAGGAAAGATCAGTTTCTTAAATTTCTGTTTTGGCGTGCTTGTCATTAAGGGTATGTTCACAAAAACACTTATTACAATTACAATACAAAATTAAATAGAAATGTCTATTTTTGTGGTGGTCATTCATATGGCCAACACAGTCATTATAAAAAGGACTAAAAGAAAGTGTAGTTTGTGTCGATTTAGCAGAGGTTTGATCCACTATAGGTCACTTTGATATTCTGTCCATGAAGCTGTCTAGTGTCTTTGTAAATCCAGGTGAGCTTATCAACTATATAACAGAGTCCAGGCAGTGAGTGGCCCTGCATCCTGATGAATTCACACACACTCACATATATTATATATATATATATATATATATATATATATATATATGTATATATATATATATATATATATATATATATGTATATATATATATATATATATATATATATATATATATATATATATATATATATATATATATATATATATATATATATATATATATATATATATATATATATATATATATATGTATATATATGTATATATATATATATATATATGTATATATATATATATATATGTATATATGTATATGTGTGTGTGTATGTGTATATGTTTTTCATATTTGACTGTTCACTTTGCAGGCTACCAAAGATTACCCCAGAAGACAGATGACATCCCAATCAACAACAAACCATTTTGTGCTTCTCCCAAATATTGTCAGGTATGTAACTTGTGTGTAGTCTGTTGTGTAGTTTACAAGTTTAATTCACCAACATGGATTAGAACTGTTTCTAAATTAAACTAACCCTGTTTAGACTTTAAAAGGGACCAGAAATCTGCATATCTCTCTTAATATTTCTGTTATTTTGTTGTACACTCCTTGTACTCAGCCATGTAATTGCAAAGAACGTCCAACAGATGGCAGTGTAGAGCTTCAAATAAGTTAAGGCAATCCTCTCGCCTGCTATTCTTCAAGATCTAGGCCAGTTCAGTTTGCCAAAATATGCTTATAGTTTACCCTGGATAATTTTAAATCAGTCATCATAGTCTGATCTGTCTGTTTGATCAAACCACAATTGAAGGTTTATTGGTAACTATAAGCATTGATATAAGCATTGACTTATTTCGAGAGTGCCTGGCCACTTCCCATAAATGGATCATTGCGGGAAACTCCTCATCATAGGTGGTACATGTATTTCAGACAGTGTTTCTCTTGGGGAATGTGATATCTTAGGACACCTCTCCTCCTGGTATCGTCTGTGACCCTGTCCCTGAGCGCTATATGTACCTGTCTGCATTCCAACAGGCTCAGCTTCCCAGCACAGTCACTGCTGGTACTTAAAAAAAAAAAAAGTGAAAACAAAGGTCATATTTAGTTCCCTTTTTTTAAAAAATTTTTGACAAGTGCATACAATGGTCATAACCTTTAACTCTTCTTCTTTTGCTTGTGTTCATTGTATCAGAGGAGAAGCGCTCTTGAAATATTCACACAGGGTGAAATGTAATCTGGCCGCTACCTACTGTGCCTTTAACATGGGACACAAAACACTTCTCTTTTCTTGGGTACTTCCTGTAAACTCAGCTGTTCAGCTCTCTTTGGCTTGAGCTAGTTCAGGAACTCTATTCTAGTTATTGTATTCTGCACCCTGACACAGGTAGGTAAACTTACAGCTGATGGAACCTGCATACATATGCATCTCAATCTGCAGACTTTTGAAATGTCTTCTTGATGGATTTTTGTTTTATGGGTTTTTAGGTCTGGTCTGTCAAGATAATTAATATATCGATTTATTGTTCAGTATATGAAAGCTGGAACAATATATTTTGCGGTTTAATATTCATCACGCGTACAATTTCTTTGTAAAATTGGAGAGATTACTGCAATTTTTATGTAATACAATAAGATTTGAGCTGTAGAAGGTACAATAAATAACTTCTGTTGCAAATTTTTGGTTAATTCCATTGATTATCCTGCTTTGTGTCAGTGGCATAAAGTATTTTCAGTATTATTGTTTATTGCAATATTTCTGTAGCAATATATCATGCTTCAAAATTTGTTATCGGGACAGGCCTATGTGAGTTGGTAAGTTTAAATTTTGCTTACTGGTTGAGACCATGGTACTTGATATTAAGGTGTTGCAGTTCAAAGTGTGGAACATTTACCTTGGAAGAATATCTCTAGTTCAAGTGCATGTCAGGATGCTGTATTTTCACCATTGCGAGATAGGATCAAAGCCCTTTTGTTTGCTTTTGCTATGCCTTCAAGTAATTTTAAGAACAGATCTTTTTGTTTTAATGACATGATAGTCTAACTTCCTTTTCCGTTTCCTTTTTACTATAAAATGTAGTATTTGCACTACGTGTTTTGCATAATTCTCTAAAGTGTATTTATGACCTGTAGAAATGCAGTTATTTCAGGGCATCTTTTTCTATTAGAGAAAAAATTTTGTGGGGTTAAGTGTAGTTGCTATGGCAAAGAGAGAGGAGAAAGGACGGAGAGGAGGGAGGGGTGAAAAGTGCCCTAATGTTACTCAATGACCACTGCTTATGTTTATAGGTTTGGCCACCACAGTGTGCTGGGGCAACTCAGAGCCCAAAGCAGGTGCACAAGTGAAGAGAGATCTGTCTTCTAGTGCATGTGTACAAGGACACATTGACCTAGATACAGCTCTATACAAGTCAGTGGAGAAACAGCAGCATAGCCTTTCAGGAGACTTGACTAACCCATATATTATTGAATCTTTATAGCACTGAAATTGATGGTGTACATGGTTAGGTTCATTCCTATTTGATATGTATTGTACAAGAGCAATATTAATGAACCTTGCTTGTCTTGTGTTTTTCTTCATTCACATGTTTGACTCACAAACCCTGCATACTTTGGCTGAGTTCTTCTCTCAAACAGAAAACACTCTGTTCTACCATACTTTTGCATTAGTCTGGGTGGAGGATGTTTACCGGTAATTTGTCAGGTTCAAGTAAAGTCCAGCAGACAGACAGCATAATCCCACTGAATAGCATAGGCTTTGGAACTGAATTTTTAAATACAGCAAAAAAAAAAAGAATAATTGGGTACACATTAATCTTTCAACTGAGAATTTTATAGCCCAGGTCTAAGAGTTCCCTTTTTACTTCTGTCATTTTCTTTTTCGTGACTTGGTTTTTGCTTTCATATTAGCCATTGCTTCATCTATGGCTATTACAGAATACGTGTTGTAATTGTAAATCTCCTTTCATTCTTGTTCTTTCAGTATTGTTCTGTTGTGAGCTTTAAGCTATGTTATAATATTGTTACCTCATCAAAACATACCTGGAGTATTAGTCTGTCATCTCCAAAGCTCAAAATGTTCTGTTCCACCTTGTGATGCAATGAAGCAGTTGTTTTCAAGTTCACAGCTGATTTTATTTTGTTCAGTAGAGATTGACAGTTCGAGTGCTGACATTACACCATTGATTCTTGCAAAGCCGTGGAGTTAAAAAACACAATGGTATTACCATGTGATGTCACAAGGTGGAACAGTGTGTTTCTGGTTGAGAGAAGAACTCAGCCTAAATATGCAGGATCCGTGTGTTAAACATGTGTGAATGAAACAAAACACAAGTCTAAGTGTGTTTCTGATGAGGAAACAACATTATAACACATCAGAAAATAGTGTAACATAGGTCCTTTAATGACCATAAATCTGTCAAGCGAATGTCATTCTAGTCATCTATCAAAACAGCAGCCATAAAATCTCATGTAAACCATTGTCACGTGGTGAATCTTGTGCTATGATTGGAAGTGAAGGCATGTTGTCAGAGCTGCCTTGTTGATTATTACACTTACCTCACAGATCTGGTAGCAGGTTATTAAATACAGTATCAAATATAGCAGCTGTCATGTCAGTCAACTCTGTCTAATGTAAAGGGAGGAGATTTTGTGGTTTATGCAAATTTCAAGACACATGTATCTGGTTTTCATAATTTAATAACTACCTGTGATAATGGTTTTAATTTAGTTACTGTAATTAAATGATTTTGTAAAGTTGTGATTTAGTATCGGTGATAAGTTGGTCTGTGCCCTGCTGTTGAATGATGTTTAATTGATATGCAATGAGACTTTTGACTAGTCCTGTCATGATAATACATTTTAAAGTTAGGATTCAATATATGTTGCTAAAGTAAATATAGTAAATATAGACGATAAACGATAATACTGAAACAGATTTAAACCACACAATCTATTTAGACAGTTAGTGAGTAATAGTGAGTTCAAATAAATAAATAGCTGGGGAAAAAAAAACCTTTTGCATCTGTAATGAATCATAGAAGTGCTTAAATCTTATTATATAACCAAAAAAAATTCCCAGTTGTGCAAAGAAAATACTCACCATAAATGCTTACTGCCAAAAAATATAGTTCCAGCTTTCATATAGTGAACGAAAAGTAATGACAGGCCTACATACAGGAGATGAATTTAATGCTTAAAAACGAAAAGTGGAAATTTAGAGCTTTAGATTAAAAATAAAGGACTGAGTGGGAGAAGCTAGTCATTTATTTATGGTAACTGTTGGTGTGAGCGACAGGGGCCTGGAGCAAAGATGACATCCATCAGACCATACGCCCAAATCACTCAGTGAGCTTTTTCATGCTGTACAGAAGGAGCAGCTCAGGTCAAACACTACAGAAGACCTCACTACCTCCATGTTCTTTTTTATGGAGGCTAAATTTGCTATTGTGATAGGCTGTTGGCAGAGACTTGTATAGTTGTACATGGGTTAGAAAGGTTAAAAAATCTACATTGAGCCTACTTGAAAACGTATTTGTTTAGTTGAAGTTTGTATTAAATGAATTATGATTTTATTTAGATTATAAGTATTTGTATGGCACAACAGTAGAATGGAGAAGTAAGTGACCGAGTAAGTGAGGCAGTTGGCTGAAAATGTTGTGTTTTTGCTTAATTTTTCTACTACTTTTTACTTTTAATTTTACACAAATTGCTCACAAAAGATGATAAAATAATTCACAAGATTAATCTGTCTTTATATAACATCATTGTTTCTTAGTACTTTTTCTGTATAAATAGTTTTTGCAACTCCTGTGCAGTTTGGCTCAGATCTATGGAGATACATAATAGTTTTGAGAGCTTTTGTCATGCCTCCTTTTTAGTGGATTAATCAATCGGTAGAACATGTCTTTAGTCAACCGATTTGATGTCATAATTTCAGATTGAGGACAGGGGATAATAAATATCGCTATGAGTGATTCACTATTTTAGAAAGAAATACCCAAACAGAAAATCCTCATATTTTTGGGGTGACAATTTTGCCATATTCATCTTGTTGTTTAAAATCCTTTCAATTGACAATCATAATTTCTGTGTTTGAATAATGACCCCACTCTTATTCAATGCTAGTGAAAAAGACATAACCATTGCTCATAAACCATGTTTTATTTTGACAGTTAATAGACACATTTTCCTGTTGGTACTTCGCAGTCAGTGTCATCAACATTCTCTAAACGTAACTTAACTTAAAGCACTAGCTACTCTGTTAGAAGCTCTGTTGCTCAGGTTAGACTTTAATCTGGACTTTATTTTGACACAGTCTGACCAGTAGGAGCTGATTTACCTGAACTACAACAGGTGAAGTGATTTGTACTGTTAAAGAAGTCTTTCACACATAAAGTCACAAGCTAGCGTTATTTCAGTTCAGTCACTCTCACTTTTTGTTGAAAATAAAA